ACCAAAGCGCGAGATTGCCGGCTTTATTGCCGATTCGTAGGGACTGGAAAGGTACTAAGTTACGTTTACCTAGGCAGATTTCGAGAAATATGGTCTTGGATGGGTACCTATTTTTTCCAAAAACTTTTGAATATTGATTTTAATACCATGTGTAATGATAAGTAGTTGATATTTTTGAGAAATGTATACCAAAGAAATCACCAATTTAATTAAAGGTTATATTTGTTTCACTAGACAGTAAATTTAACAAAGCGATTTGCTGAATAACTGAATGTTATCTCAGACAACTAAACTATAAAATAGAATACTATTATTTATGATATTATACCAAAGAAATTTCAAGGTTAACTGAAAGTTAGACCTGAAAGTTTAACTGACAAGGGAATTTAAATATTAATGAATTGTCATCTTAAGAAAAATCAAATTATTTTGCATTCTTAGTAAGATAAATGTAGGATTTACGTTTAAATCCTACTTTTAACTTGAGTAAAAGTTTATAAATGTAACATATCCAGTACCTATATCATAATTTCTTAGTTCAAACACCATTATTTTTTTATTGTTAAAAATAAGCAATTAGGTACAACTGCCTAGATACATAGATCCCCCTCCATCACTGGATATGCCTCAAAACAGTAGAGTAATTATTATTGCACGGCTTTATTTTCTAATGCCATTCCACTCCTATAAATAGCTGCGTGTGAGGCGCTGATAAACCCGCCCCAAGCCATCGGTATGGAATGGAAGGCACCTGCACCTGCTATATGGCTCACAATCTGTAGCTCCCAAATACTTGGAGCTTGTCTTGGCTAGGCGCTAACGAGAGCATAACTATATGAGGAGGTCTCTACAGCCCCGGGGGAATTGCTATTGCATTTGGCTTGGCTGCACCGGGATTGCATGTTGCAAATTGCCGCATTAGTGACTGCACTTGAAGTCGAACGACCAAGAGATGTGGAAGCCAAAGCCAGCGGGCTGGGACTATCACCCAAAAATAAGCGATGGTTTAATTGGAGTACGCAGATATATTTGCGGAATGACGTAGCCCGAGGAAAGGTAGGTGTGAATGAATGGCCTTTGTTCGCATTGATTTTCCTCTGCCTAATATTTAACCTACATTTTATGGCCCGCCGCTCGAATTTCGGTGACACACTTTGGGCCACAGGAAGTGACTTGGCCGGCTTTTTTTTTATTTCTTGTTGTGGCCATGACGCGTGTGCGGAGTTGGCCGGCTCCTAGATTTTAGCTGCCCATTCGCGAATTGAGTTTCGTATTTTTAAACCATTTGCCGCATTACACGCAGTTTTCCTGCATCTCATTAAGACGCGGTCACACTTGAATAACGTCTCTTAATTAGTGCCACGTCCACACTGACTTTTTATATTGCTTAGTTTTTAGCTCATATAGCTCTTAGATCCCATTATATAATTTACATTTGGGTTTAAAGTTTACACTTGTGCCAAAATAGCATTCTATTTGCTGAAAAGCCGCAACAAATAATGGAAACGCGACGAAACGTGGCCGCTGCCTAACTTAAACTGATGGCCGCCCAGCGGTAAGTGAGCAAAAAGGCAGGCCTTCAAGAGAAATATTGCCTACACTTCAAATCCAAAACAGCACACAATGAATGGCCCCACACACATTGCTTTTCCATTCCCCAACAGTTTGCACACGCAGACCCGCTGAGATATTGAGACTGGGCCTGGCGAACTGAAAAGCCGAAAAGAAAAGCCACCGGGGGAGGCCAATTCGCCGTGAGTTTTTCCACGCGAATTTTCCGCTTTTCGCCGCTTTCCGAGGCGGCTGCATTTGGTGTTTGCATGTTTTGTTCATCTGCTCGGCGTGTGCTTCTTTTTCAGCTCTTTCTGCCTCTTAGACAACTTTTGATTACTGTGACACCTGTTGGTATGTCTGTGGCACGCGATGTTCGAGCACTCGTACACTTCTACCGCCACTAATTTTTCATTTTGCTGGGGATGCCCCGTAGCTATAGTTCGATTTCGATGGCAGTGATCTACTAAATGCACGCATTCGAAACAGTCACGCACTTTCGCTCATTTCACTTCAATGCACTCTTAACGTTCGCTTTTGATGTGTTATGGTACAGTAGAGGGTCTCTTGAGAAACCCATTTGATAATTACGTTTCTGAGGATTGAGAGGTAGGTAAGTGAGCATTCTAGGCGGATATAAGCATTAAGGTCCCATTTTTCAATGACATGTTAAGGTTATAGTTAGAGAAGTTAACATTAAGTTCAATTTTTTGGAATGCGATTTCGATTTCTCAATATGATGTCAACTTTTCGAAAGGCACACACTTGTGAATAAATCGGTCTTACAAACTTGAAAAGTAATAGAAGGTAAATTTTTATATTTTATCAAAATACTGAGAGACCTAATTTTTTAACGAAATGGAAATTTTAATTCAATGACAAAAATAGAGAAATTAGGACATTGATTATTTAAATTATATTTTCTTAAATTTTAATGTTCTGAACGGTTTTCAGATAAATTTAAAGAATGATCTGAACTGTTTATAAGATACCCTTATCATTTGTAAACTTTCTAAGATCAGGCTGTAATGGACTTTTAATTAATTTGAATAATCCTAAGCGGTTCCAAAATTATCCTATTCATCTAAATAATAATGGTAGCTCTCCTTATAAGCATTGTAAAATTCTCCGGCTGAGAACGTTTTTCCTGTACTCGGCTGAGTATTAAGCCCCTAGCCGAGTACACTGCACTTTTCCTTGGCTTTGGAATAGGGTCAAAACCGCAACAAATTCGCGTTGCCTTGTGCAGCGGCTAGGAGTCAACAACACTTGGCCCGAAGGTACTCCTCCTCGGCCACCTGGCCACCTGGCCACCTGGCCACCCGGGCACTGTTGCAACATCAAGACAACAACGGCAATGGCAGCAATAACGCCTAAAGACAGGTATGTGTGCAAACACAGCCCACCGAAAGGAAACCCCCAAGAACCTCTTGAAATAAGGGGGATTTTGAAGTGGCAGTGCCGGAGAAATCCTTGGCTAATGTCGTGCTAGCCCCCAGAAACCGCCCCTTTTTGGCCAGCTCCAATCAACTCAAACCGCGAGTTCAGCAAAAAGTGGAGTCACGGAGTCACAACTCGGGGAATTCCTAGAGACATCTATGAGTTAATTGTTTTAGTTTTTTTCTTTTCACCAAGGAGTTTTAAAGTTTAGAAGAGTTTAATTTAACCGACGATTTATTTCCGGTTTTGGGCACACTTGTATTAAGTTTTGCTTGATTTTAAATCGACCGTTACTTGTAGAGTTATTGTTAAAAAAAAATATCAAATAAAAACTGAGTACCCAAAAAATTCAACGCGCATTTGCATCGATCCGATGCACTGCACTCGCCGTTCGTAGAAAAACTAATCCGCCGTGGGCAAATACCTTCTTATACATCGTCCTGCGCTCTGGAACTCCGCGTACTGACCACTCGGGTCCCAAGGAAGAAGCCGCCGAAGAAAGCCGAAGCCCCTTGGGCAGCCCGCACGGGTATACGTGGGTCAGTAAACCTACTTCCGGTTGACATAAATACGCCTTGGACATGAAAACTTGGCACTGGCGGCGCGCCGCAAGTTGTTTTTATTGTTTCAAACGTTTTTGCCATGACTCAAGACAGGTGGACATAGTGGAGTCCACGAATGCAGGTGTGCACATCCAGATTTTCGATTCCCGTTCCTGTAATAGAGGTTCCCCAGAAGAAGCCATTTGATCTGGGGATAGGTACTACACACAGAGAAACCCTATGTAAATTCAACGACTTAAATTTGAAACTGCTTCATAAAAAGTAGGTATCCAAGATAAAAGTAATTAACCTATAAAATTTAACTGTCCGTACAATTGTTCTTCAACTAATGGAACAATATGACTTGATTTTACATAGTTTTTTGTGTGCGGGGAATTGGCAATCTAATCTGGGCTTGGCTAATCATATTTTGACCCTAATGCTGACCCTAATCAATTATGCCGAACCCATATGGGGGAAAATTCATATAATTCAGAACTGCACCTTTGGGAGCGCCGAGTAATTTCGGTTGCAATAAGATTTTCCCACGCGATATCTGACTTTGCCAGGCTCCTCAATTTTGTCAGGTTTGTCCTCACCATTACCATATTATTTTGTGTGCCCATGAGGGTGGGGAAGAGGCAGAGAACATCATAGCTTGACCCACATCGGACACAAATTAATATCAATTGTGGCTGGCAGATTGCGTGTGCGAATATACGAAATGCTAGGGGAAATCCTAGAGCTGGACGAAGGGGATTGAAAGGCATTCAATTGTAATTGGCTGTGACCGAGGATTACACAATGACTAAGCGGTAGTCCCTGGCGAAATTAAGTAATAATTATTATGATGTGTATACGCTTATAAATACCCAAGCACGGTAAATAAAGGTCACTATTTAGTAGGGCACGGGCTAGGATCCCGCGGTCCCGAATTTCTGACCTCCTTGCGGTACTACTAATAGTGTAATTGTAATGTTTATATTAAGGGGAAACTCCAAGCAATTACGGTCTATAAGCAGGGATAATCTCATTATTATCAGAAATGAAAACATTTTGTTAAATTAAGTTGTAGTCCTTTAAATTTAGTAATTTTTAATATATGTATATTTTGATTTAGCAAAAATAAGAACAATTTGAATTGGTTTTTTTTTATAAAAACATTAAAAAAATATGTTTGCAAAAAAGGGCAAACACATTTGCAACAAATTATTTTTGATAAAATTTTTTTTTGATTTATACCGTTCTAACGTTCTTACAATAGATTTTTATTAAAACCCCCTTATATATCAAAATTAAAAACCAAACTTGTAAGGTTTATAAATGGCTTTATTCAAATTTCTATTTGAAAATTTTTTGTCTTTGTCTTGAATATTAGGATAAATATTCAAACACACATTTTTGAAAAAAAGGGCAAGTTTTAAAAAATTATTGAACATCCATTTTTTTAAAATATGTTATGGTACATTATATGCTTCTTTATTTAATTTAACAAAAATTTAAGGCGCGACTCTAACCATAATTGTAAAGGAAACTCGTTCAACAAATTTTACTTGGTATGCAACGAAAAATTTGAAAGATATGACCCTTTAAACACAAAGAATTTGAAAACTACAAAATACTAAGGACCCCCCAAGCCATCTTGCGTAACTCGATTGTGCTTATCGACACCATGTTTATACAAAACCGCTAGATTCATCTCGATTGTGTTGACCTGATCCTGCAGAAAGTCAATGTCGTGCTCATGCTGCAGCCGCTGCTTCACCAGGCTTGTAATGTCCTTTCTGATGAATTCCTCAGCCTCGGGCAGGTCAAACTTCATTTGCAGTGCCGTGCCCACTTGAAGGGAAACCTTTTCCACTGGCAGAACGGTCACCCATCTGAATACTCCCTGGGCTACTTGCACCAGGCTCTGGAACTCCTCGCCTGGATTGTCTATGAACTTCTTCACCAGTTCCAAGTTACTCTTGGCAGCATCCAAACGCGTTAGCACTGCAGCGAGATCAGTCTCCAACTTGGCAGCCAGCTCGCTGTACTGCAAATAGAAGATGCGTTGCAGCTTCAGGGCCACTTGGACATCCGAAGAGAACTCCGGCTGGGCAATGTACCTCTCGACTTCGTCTATTAACCTGGCTTCTGTGATGGGCATGTACGACTTTCGGTTGCCAAGAGGCGGCTTCTCTACATTTTCCATGAATGCAAACATTTTTTGTAATTTTCAAGTAATTCAAGTACTAAGTATACATGAGATATTTAAATAAACTGATTTAATATGCTATTCTCTATTGATAATTTTAAAATTTTAAAATTTTTCGTTTTCTTTCCACTTTGAAAGAAAGCCCAATTACATTCAAAGTAAATAGGATTTATATATTACAATTTACAAATTAAATTACTCCAAATATTCAGTAAATTTCTAGTAAAGTTGCTTTCAATTACTTTTTTTTTAACTCACTCTACTTTGTCAGCTTAAAATCCAGCATGGTCTTTATTTTGCAAAAAATTGTATCGTGATTACTTAGACCTATAGTACATATTAATGTATCAATAATTTAAAAGCGCATTCACATAGATCCTAATCAAATATTGTCATAGTCTTCGTCTAATTCGAAAACGGTTTCAGTGGGGGTCGCTGATGCCGCGGTGGCCTTTGGAATGATGGGAGCGCTGCTCTTTCCAGCCATTTGGTTCACGTTGTTGTTATCCGCCGGCGTGGCCGTTGCGAATCCAATGGAGGCGGGGGGCAATCGGCCACCCGCCGCTCCGACTCCGGCTCCGGCGGCCACGATATTTGTCAAATCGATATTAATGACCGGAGCAGCGATGTCAAAGTTGAACGCCCCGGATCCTGTGCCCGATCCCGAGCCGGAATCGGAGGCATCCGGTGTGCAGAGGTTCGCCGTGGGCATCTGCATTTGCATGTGGCTGTAGTCGATCTTGACGATGGGCTTGTTGAGTTCGTAGCTGCAGATCGGTGCAGGTATGGCAGTGTCGAGCTGCACCGACTGCTTCTTGAGGTGATTGGGCGGCCTGCCACGGGGCGTGTAGGCCGGCGTTGACTCGGAACGGGCCAACTTGGCGGGCAGGGTGCTGGTGGGATTTGGATGGGAAATGTGCGCAGGCTGTGGCTGGAACTGCCGCTTGGTGGCGGCACCACCACCTCCTCCTGCTCCAACTCCATTATTCAGACTCATGGAGCGCATGTAGGCGGTGGTTCCGTTGGCCTGCGAGCGCATGGAGGTCGATGGCAGGCTAAGATCATATGGCGTGTCCGAATCGGGGTACTGATCCTCCGGGGAGCTGCGCAGCACATCGTCCTCGTTGTAGGCGGCCTCCTCGGCGACGCTGATGTCGGGTATGTTCCGCACGAGCTCCTTAAGGAAGTCGAACCGCTTCTCGGACACGATGCACTGCCTCATGTGCGATGGCGATAGCGTCTTGGCGTTGCGCGCATTCGTGATGCGCAGCGTCTTGGTCAGCAGCGACTCCACGAAGAGCTCCAGCGTGCGCGAGATGATGACGGGCACTGCCTGGGCCACCTTCCCGATTTCCTCGTCGCTCTGCATTATCTTCTTGATGCGGCCCTGTATATGGGGGTATATGGAAACATTATAATCTTCTGTTTTTTTCGAGCCTCTGATTATGCGAGGCGTGTATGTATGTATGCCGAGATGTACATATGTACACATGCCCGAAAACTGATAACCCATCTTCGGCGTTCATGGCCGCCAAACAGCGGCGATTTCCCGGCCGCCAACTGGGTTTCCCACTTACCGCCGGAAAGCGAGCGTTGTATTTTTTCTTTTTCGATGGCATTTTCCGATTTGTGAAGTAATAGTCGCGAGTCCTAGCGAAATAAAACAAATGTGTGTGTGTTTTTCACACAAGAACAGTTCCTTGGTGCCCGAATGTCGGCGTGGGTGGGTGACTGGCATTCGCTCTCGCAGCAGGCGGGGTATTCACCGGGAACTAGCTGGTATTCAAAATAATATTATTAAAATACAAAAATTTGCCAAAATTAACAGCTATGTTAATTCTTTTTGTAGTGATTTATTTAATGGTTTTTTATTTTGCTTTTATTTTTTAGGCTCACATACTGGCAAACAGCTATCCCCTCCTACAATCTGGCAACCTTGTTTCGCGTCACTGTGAATGGCCAGAACCGCCAAGAAGAGAAAGAAGCAGCAGCACACCTGACAGCCTGTATTTTTCACACATTTGCAATTGGGATTTAAAATCTCAGGAAATCTGGACGGGATTACATGTCTGACACGCGCAAGGATCCTTGCAAAGCCAACGCCTGCCGCATTCAAGCCTGTCTGAACGGTAAGCAGCCGGCAATGACTCCCTTTTCGATGGTTATGTAAGCTTCGCGAGACTTTTTGCAGAGAATAACTACCAGGAGGACAAGTGCTTGGATGTTCTGGAGGCGATGCGCCAGTGCTGTCTAAAGTGGCATAAAGAATCGCTTTGCTGCAGTGGAATCGATCTGGAAAAGTCCTACAAACCAGAAGCCTCCAAGGGGCAGAACCCAACCGGCAAGTCGTGAGTTCTGGTCGAGATTTTCGTACCCATTAGGGCTCCAACACTTCCCCACCTCTTGCAGGAACAAATAATGACCATACCGCAGTATAAACCTCCCAAGGAAATCCAAGACTTGCTAGACAAAAAGGAACAGCAGCAGGCTAATCAACGCAGACGAACCGCTGTGCTGCCCAAGCGCTCGTGGATCCAGCGGAATCCACGCCTCTTCCAGATCTCCTTCCTCACCGGCTCGCTGCTGATATTCTTCTCCAAACCCCTGTACGACTGCTTCATCGCCGATCCCCTGCCGCCGCTGGAGATCAAGGTGCCGCCGCACAAGCGCTGAGCTGAGACTGAGGCATGGAATCGGTGCGGAAGGCCAACCAACGACTCCGTAACTACCCGGTTCTGCTGACCAAGTGCGCGGACAAGGCCACGGCGTATGCGGTGTGCGTTTCACGGGATCTGAACGTTCAGCATAAGATCTGCGACGCCGAGTTCAAGGAGTTCCTCAACTGCATCCGCAAGAGCGCCCTGGAAATGAAGACCAAGCTGTAGACAATCGAAAACAATAAAACACAATGCCTCAAACAAAGGTTGCGACTACGGGATGGCAGCGACTGAGTCGCCGCATCCTTGAGACCAGCTTTCGGACCCATATCCTAATCTCCGCCCTGCTGCGGATCGCTTTAATCTGCTACGGACAAATACACGATAGTGAGTCGGCCGTGCCCTACACGGATATAGACTACAAAGTGGTGACGGATGGAGCTCGTCGAGTGCTGGATGGAGACACGCCCTTCGCCAGACACACTTATCGCTACAGCCCGATTATGGCTTACCTGCAGACCCTCAACATTCTGCTCCATCCGGCGTGGGGTAAGCTATTTTACGCCACTTTTGATCTGCTCATCGCCACGCTTATTTACCGCCTGGTGCACATGGAGATCAAGAGTCAGTACCAGAAGACCGTGCAGCACCTGCTCAGCAAGTTCAACAGGCCACGGGAGTCTGACCAATCGCTGGACGCCCTGGACGCGCGAAGTCATCCGGAGAACCTGGCCCGCGCCTCTGCTTGCTTCTGGCTCTACAACCCCCTGACGGCTGTAATTTCTACGCGCGGAAGCGGAGACTGCTTCTCGAGCTTCTTCGTGATACTTACTATCTACCTGTTGCTAAAATCAGAGCACCATGTCGCCAGGAGTCACTGGCTTATATTCTGTGCAGGCTTATCTCACGGACTGGTGATCCACTTGCGTCTGTATCCGTTGCTGTTTAGTTTGGCATACTACTTGTCGCTGTCCACACGCCTCACACAAACACCCCTCGATTTTCTGTGCCAAATCCTGCGGCCCAACAAGCAGCAGTTGTGCCTGGTGATCGGAACGCTTGTCAGCCTAGTGGGCTTCACCTACACCTTCTACTCAATGTACGGCTGGGATTACATCTACGAGGCTTATTTGTATCACTTTGTACGCAAGGACTCGCGACACAACTTTTCGCTGCAATTCCTTCTGCAGTATCTGGGCAGTGCACCGAGTGTGGCGGAACCCTCTGCCATCCTGAAAGTCCTAGTGGTGGCACCGCAGTTCCTGCTCATCCTCTACTTAAGCCTAAGCTTTGGTCAGTTTCGGCAAACCTTGCCGTTCTGCATATTTGCCCTGGCCTTCGTCATCGTCACGTACAACTCGGTGGTAACCTCGCAATACTTCATCTGGTACTTGGCCATCCTTCCGCTCTGCTTAAACAACTTCAAGCTGCTGTCGTGGAGAAGGTGCTTCAGTCTCCTGTTCCTTTGGCTGCTCGCCCAGGCGCTGTGGCTGCTGCCCGCCTATTTGCTGGAGTTCCGGACGTGGAACACCTTTTACTGGATCGGAGTGCAGGGCGCCGTGTTCTTCGCCACTAACGGGTATATTCTGGAGCAGCTGTTGAGTCACTACGGGTTCACCCAGTTTAAGATAAGCTACAGAAAGTTACTGTAATCAAACAATCCGAAATTTTCCATACTTAAAGTGTGTGCAAAGAAGCGATTTAATACAATGAATTAATACAAGATATCACAAATTAAACTAGTGGAAATTTAAATGCGAAAGTTAGTTATTAGCTCTTTGTTGAGTGTATAAACTTGATGTAATTAAAAAGCCTTTCGTGTTCCTCGATGCGCATGGCATGAACTCTGTCAGAAATACCCCAGACATCCCTGTGTCCGACCATATCAGTCTGAAAAACATTACCCAGCTTGTTCCACTCCACATCTGTGAACTTTTTCTGAACTCGGTGGTACAATGCTCGAGCACAGATTGCTTGCACGGTTATGTTGTTGACATATTTGAACTCCTTCCGATTCTCGTAGAGCCTCCTTGTATGCTCGTAGTCCTTTCCCAACTCCTTTCCTGTTGTTATGAACATGTGATAGACGCGCTTTCGAGTGGCTGGTTTCTCCAGGCACAGGAAACACAGGTACTGCGTGTGGTCCTCCAGATTTATTTTTGGGGGAACTACAGGTGGCACATTACTCTTCAGTAGGATCCTGCTTAGAATCACTGGAAACGTGGTTGGATTCACTTTAGGTTCCTCTGGGATGGGAGTTTTCTTCTTTTTTCGCCTGATACGGGGAGCATTAAAATTCGGCTTTACCCTTCCGGATATATTAAGCACTGGTATTTCTGATGATGACTCAGTTTTGGAACCACTTGCTGATAAAGGTGTATCATTATGTTCCAGTGCTTCAGCTTCCATGATTTTAAATTCTTTTATTATTTGAATGCCTTCTGTATAATGTCCAAATTAGTACTGAACTCTTGTAGCCGAAAACCGCTGATTAAGTAGATGGGATGTTTTGTGCCAAATCGAAATACATATGTATTTCACAACACAAAAGTTTAATAGCAAAGCACAGAATTAGTGATGGTTTTGTTTATAAATGTCTCCAAGGGAATGGCAATCATAAGTTTGTCGATTAGGTTGAGCTTTCTGATAAGAATAGTATAACACTTGAATTTTATAAAAATATTTATTTAAATTTTGATTTTCAAATTATAGAAAGTATTATTAAGCATTCAGCTATTCGTAGCGCTCAGGAACTTGGCATAGTTGAATAATTTTTCTGTTTCCTCGTTTTCCAGATCATACAATCTACTTGTAACATTCCAAACATCCCGTTCTCCAATTCTGTCAGTTTCGAAAATATTTCGCTGCTTGTTCCACTCAACATCGGTTAATTTCATTTGGACTCGGTGAAACAATGATCTTGCACAGAGGGTGTACACTGTTACTTGCTCCAAAATCTTGAGGTCTTTTCTATTTTCATAAATTTTTCGCACTTTTAAGAAGTCACTATCCAACTCCTTCTCGTTGGAGATGAACATATGAGAAACTAGCTTTCTTTTAGATGGTTTGTCCATGCACAACAAGCAAAGATATTGCTTAAAGTCCGACAGATTCATTTTTGAAACCGGTTCAGGTGGGTCATTACTTTTTAACAGGATCCTTCCCATTATCACTGGAAAGGTGGTAGGGTTGATTTTTGGAGTTTCAGGAACCGTGGGGGGTGGAGGATCCGCTTTCTTTTTGCCCATAGTACGGGGAGTTTTTTGAGTTGTCTCAACCTTTCCTGAAATATTAAGCACGGGTGTTTCGGAAGGTTTGGGATTGCTGCTGGTGGTATTATTAGCTTGATCTTCCATTGCTTTTTTAACGTTTCTTATGAAGTTTGTCTTTCTAGAGGTCTAACGCGGCACTGAAATTTAACTGGACCTATACTTAGGTTGTTGAATCAATATAGAAATAATTTCACATAGAACGAAAACCAAAAGCTTAGTATTAGTCACTTTTATTTGTTGACATCTACCTGTGAATGGTAAAAAAAACATATGTTCTTTAATTAGGGTGAACCTTGGCGCACTAGATTAGTGATAAATGTTTTTTTTTCCTATAAAACATTAATAAATTAATTAATATCGACAAAGGTTAAAAACAATACCAAATTTTTTTTTAATTTTAACCCAAACTTTCTAATAACTTTATTGGTTTCATAAATATCACTTTTCACCTAGTTTTGTTAAGATAGCTTAAAAATTGGTAGATTTCCATTTCTTCTTCTTTCAAGGCATCGGAAACAATTTCCTGTATGAAGTACATGGAATCTTTTTTATACTGAATTACATTTTCGCTGACCCAGTGTTCTTTACCGATGCGATTCTTTACTCGTAAAAGCATATCTTTGGGACTAAATGAAACTACACTTATAATAGATCCATTTTTAAAATTATCAGGTCCAAACTCGTAATATTGTTTTCCGTTTCTCATTGTCTCAGTAGCTGCAAATCTCCCAACGCATGTTTCATCCGGTTTTTGAGGCTTAACGCCGAGAAGTAATTTCTGCATATGCTTATCAAACTTAAACTCAAAATAAGCTTCGGGGTTACTAGTTTTCTGCACTTTTTCTGATGTTTCGCAGGTGTCACTTCCAATAGTTAAAATATTTGAAGTTGACGTCATATTAGGTTCTGAAATATATTAAAATTAGTGGACTCTTTCAATGTGACATTGTTTCAGCATACCTGAGTTATTCTCAATAACGTCTGATTTCGTTATGACCAGTCCTTTTATTTATTTACAAATGAAATCAGCTGAAAGCTTTAAATTAGTGATGGGGGTTTGGTTTGTGTATGCCCTGGGTAATGGCAAAAACATATGTTCTTAAGTTCTCTTTTTGTTAGTGTGTTCCTTCAGATAACACAAGTAATCATATATATCCGAGCTTTCCTCACTCACAGCTTTGGAAACAGATTCCATTACAACATTTCTCGAATCTTTAGGATACTTAACAACGTTTTCAGCTATCCAGTGTTCCTTACCGATTTTGTTTTTTATACGCCTGATGATGCCTTTTGGTTCAAATGTAGGACAGTTAATCATCCAACCGTTTATCTTGTCACTCGGACCAAGCTCGTAAATATATTGTCCGTTTTTCCTATTTTCATTCGCTGAAAACGTTTCGACAGATCCATCTACATATACTTCAGTCAATGGCTTAGCATCATTTAGTAATATTTTCTGCAAATATATCTCTAGATCTGAGTCTTTTAACTCTTTGTGGCTCTTTGGGATCCGAGCTCCATTTAAAACTTCTTGGGTCTCTGTTCCAATAGTCAACACGTTTGATTTCGTCGCCATGCTGTATTTTGCAAATATATTTTGTTTTCTGAACTGTTTTCTGATATAATGATGTCTGATTTCGTTATAAGTATAAGAAGGTTTCGCTACTTATTTACTAACGAAATAATTTCCCAGGAAGCTCACATTAAAAGCACAAAGTTAGTGATGGTAGTTTTTTGTTTACAACCCACCCGTGAATGGTAAATAGCATGTGTTTTAACGTTAGGATGGACCAAAAAATTTTATTTTGTATATTTAAAAGAAATTATTATCATTTTTTATTTCTATTTTCCATCAGATAACATATATATTGATAAATTTCAAAATGTTCTTCATGAAGCGCAGCTCTAAGGGTTTGATGTATAAATAATCTGGAATCTTTGCTATACTTCGCCACGTTATCAGTAGTCCAGTGGTCCTTGCTTATTCGATCCTTAATTCGTCTTAGAACTCCCTTGGGTTCAAAGGTAGGTCCGTTCATAATCCAACTACCCGTTCTAATCTCAGGTGCAAACTCGTAATAGTATTGCCCTTTCTTTTTAACTTCATTTGCAGCTATTCTTTCGACAGCTGATTGATTAGGCTCGGGTTCTATAGGATTAGCTCCATTTAAAAGAATTTTTTGCAAGTGATCTTTAAAATCGTCTTTAAAAAAGTATATGCTCTTCTTTGGGATCTGTACTTTAGGTTCGATTTCACTGGTATCTGTTCCTATAGTCAAAACTTTAGATTTTGACGCCATGTTGGGTTCTGAAAAATATGTTACTAAAAGACAGCTTGCTACTAGAAACTTAATTTACTTGAATGAATTTTAAAATCAACTGGTGCTCTCCTTTATTTATTTACTAATGAAATATTTCCAGCCAAAGCTCACATTAAAGCACACAATTAGTGATGGTGCCTTTTTGTTTATAAACTTTTGTGAATGGTAAATCACGAAGGTTTTCAAGTTAGGGTGGACCTGGTACTTCACTTCTTACTTAAATTTCTCACTGTATAAAATGGATATAATATAACCAGGAATCTTTTAACGATTTTCTTGCAAATATCGCAGGTAATTATATATTCTTTGGTCCTCCTTTACTATGGCGTCCCAAACAAGTTCTTGTATTTCAGCAGTTGAATTGTTATGGTACTTAATTACACTTTCATTTATCCAGTGTTTCTTGCTGATCATCTCCTTGACAATTGATATAAGCCCTTTGGTATCAAATGCTGGGCCAGATAAATCAATTCCCTTTGTATAGTCGTCTGACCTAAACTCGTAATATTGTGTCCCATTTCTCCGAGTGCTTGTTGCGCAAAATCTTTCCACTGAGCCTTCATCGGGGGTTTTTTTCAGAGGAGGAGATCCACCCAAAAGAAGCTTTTGTATACGTTTTGTAAATCTAAAGTAGAAATTACGTTTATGAATTTTTATTATTGATGCTCTTTCCAACGCTTCTTCAGTCTCCGTTCCAAAACATAAAATATTTGGTTTTGACTCCATGACGTCTAGCTTGCTAATGAGTCAATCGGAACTATTTCATTCGATGTGTAGCTACTATAGTTTAATTATTTTTACAATAAAAGCTCACAATAAACTTTTGTGTTTAATAAATATATATAAAATTAAACTTTCTAAAGGCCTCTTCTCATACGCGTGTTAAGTTCTAGTCCTACATAGATAGCTTTAATGAGAATTATTAAATAAAAAGAAAATATTATGAAGTAGAAGCACTTATGAGCAAAGAGTTAACTGGGGAAGCTAAATACTGTATGTTGTGAACAATGAACAATGAAGTTAAACTACAGCTACAATATTTGATAAGTTTAAAATAACAGTATTGTCTGCCCAGCCTGGTAAGAGGTCATTCATTAGTTTATCTTAACCGAAAGTCCCCTAAAAGTGTTCTCACCTTATCGAGTGTCTGTCAGAACAAGTAACATAAAGTTCATTTATTTCGGTTCGAAACTTGAAAAACAACAAACGCGTCTCTCTCTGATCTAAATAAAAGATAAAGGTGCTTTTTTCGTCGGTGGGGGTATTAGTACCGGTACTAGAAGCGTGCTACTATCTATAGCTGCAGGTGCCAATGGCTGTGATGGGTATACTAAAAAAAGGGGGTTTTTCTTCGCTCGCACAATTTCTCCATTTGCCTGTGCTGTAACTACGTAGAGGCATATCTGGAACAATACACGATTTAGCTGATATAATACCTACCGATTTGTACTTAATATGGCTTCACATTATTATTTTTTTTATTACGACCTTGATTGGTGTCGAGTACGCTTGAGATAACTGCAGAAAAGTCCCCGTTTACTGCCCTAAAATTGCGATCTAGCAAATAAATCATTTTATAATGTTCCAAAAGAGATAATTGATTTGTCAACCGAAATGAACCTTGAAAATAAAATACAGGAAAAGTTTACGCAACTGGCAGTAGTGCACCCTTCCATTTATTGATATGTATATATCTATATCTACATAGCTGCGGTGCTTTCCCCAAACGAAGAAACATTCGCCCCACTGTTTACATTAAAGCGTGTTTATTCAAATGGTGATCTAGATACATGTATTTCATATTTCCCTGTTCTGTTCGCCTGCAAGCTCCACGATCGACTGAAATCGAAATTGAAACTGAGAGCTGAACTTGAAACAAATGCCAAGATCGAGAAGAGACGACTCGAAATCGGAAGCTTTCGGGGCGTACATTCTATATATATGTGCTGTAAATCGAATGCTAATGAAATCAGATGTGCAAATTGCAGGTGTGAGTTTTTTGTTTGTAAACAAACTGACAAGGAAACGAATGTCTCAGCTGGAGTGATCACTTGACAACCGGGTAAACATTTATCAAATATGTAGATTGGAGTTTTCTAGTGCAAGGCGGAAAACTCTATCGTCTTATCGGGGTTATTACCCCTTTGTTTTGAGGTGGTCTCAACTATATGGCGCTTTGGCACAGCATTTACGACCAAACCGAAATCAGCCTGTTTATAATCAAGGGGCTTAACAATGATAAGGGAGTTGCCAAAAATCCCCATTAAAATTTGGCTGCATCGTAAGCTGATAAGAATCTGCACAGAAAAATGAAAAATGAATACTTTGAAAATGTTAGTAATAGTAAAGTATAATTTTTTTGTTTAATTTTTATATAATATGTATATATTATAATAAAAATCGACATTCATATTTAGCTGTATTGCCAAATGACAAAAAATGTACAAAGGATAAAATGCCCATTTTGTAATTGTATTATTATATAAAGTATATATTTTTTAAATCAATATACATGCTATATTCTCAAAATACATACTAAGTGTAATACGAAACCGTCGACAAAAGTATATTAATATCAATTTAAAAAAAATTACCCATTTACTTTTAATAATAAAAGGAACTAGTACTAAAAATGATTTTTTTTTCTCTGTACAAAATAGTCATTCTTCAGTTTGGGAACCCTAAGGAAGCCAAAGGTCCTATGAATAAGACATACTAAATGGAAGAGATAGCCGAGCCCATTACGACGGGCCCCACAGGTGCGTATTAGTCACCCCGAAGAATTCGGCGACCTTATCAAAGGTCTCCCCAGCTGGTCAAAACTCGAAACCCTCATGCCTACGAAGTGATTTTGGTGCCGGCCCTCGGGCAAAATAAAAAAGCCCCGCCGCTAGACTCTCTGGCTGGTATAAAAGCGGCTCCCGAGCGGCATTATCGTTTAATAGCCACAGTGCCAGTGTTCGGAGAGCACGGCGAAAGCGATCCCCAAAAGTCGCAAACTCAAAACAAATCACAAACAAAAACCAGAGGGAGTCCCCTGGCGGAAGCAGACGATCCCCCAGTATTATAGTATCGTCGATGCTCACACAATTGGATACTTTTGACCTTAGTCGGCAGCGGTGACATAGCAACCATTGGATATTGCTCATCGTTCGGAGAGTTCCCCCAGCGACAGGGAAAGAGAGATAGTATAGCCCCCGAAAAAACTAGAGAATGAGATAGTCGACCGTTGAGCGGTGATTTTTACGAGTGATTAGCAGCGGAAAGAAACGAAACCTGAGGTAATTCACACTAAAATGGGTGTTCGTGTGATAGAGACCGATTCGGCGAGCGATTCGTATGACGATGACGAGTGCTCCACTTGCCAGAAAGAGCAGCAGGGTAAACCCCCCAACAAGACCAAGAGGAGTCCCTCTCCGCCGGAGGAGACGACCATCTATGCCAGCAAAGATCTGGTGGGCAACTGCAAGGAGTACCGTATCGAGAATAACTCAAGGGATCTGAGGATCATCGGCAATGGCAACCGGATTCGTATAGTTAATAACTCCGGGAGCCTGCAAATTATTGGCAACAGCACCAGGCTTAAGATCCAGAGCAACAGTGGGTCTATAAAGTATACCGGAAATGATGGGCGGATCTACCTGGGCAGCAATTCTTCGCAGCGAGTTGTGGACTACACGGGCTGCAATGGACTGCTCAAGGTGGTGAAATCTCTGGATCTCAGCGGTGATGCCAAGAAAAAGTCCAGCTCTCGAC